TTGCAACAAATTTTATACCTGATTATTAAATTTTATCAAATGTTTAATCTGCCCATATTGATGTAATTGTATGCATTTTATCCTTATTTTATTGGTGGTGGTGAATCATATTGATTTTTTTTAAAGTTTTTTTTTTTAATTAAATCTTTATTGTTCAGATTATTACAGTTGTTCCTCTCCCTCCCCCCCCCCCCATAGCTCCCCTCCACCCGGTTCCAACACCCCCCCCGCCCTTACCCCCCCCCACTGTCCTCATCCAAAAGTGCATGATTTTTGTCTAGTCTCTTCCTGAATCCCCCACGCCCCTTTCCCCCCCAAGAATAGTCAATCCACTCCCTTTCAGTGCCCCTGATTCTATTATAATCACCAGTTTATTCTGTTCATCAGATTATTTATTCACTTGATTCTTAGATTCACTTGTTGATAGATGCGTATTTGTTGTTCATAATTTGTATCTTTACCTTTTTCTTCTTCTTCCTCTTCTTAAAGGATACCTTTCAGCATTTCATATAATACTGGTTTGGTGGTGATGAACTCCTTTAGCTTTTCCTTATCTGTGAAGCTCTTTATCTGACCTTCAATTCTGAATGATAGCTTTGCTGGATAAAGTACTCTTGGTTGTAGGTTCTTGGCATTCATCACTTTGAGTATTTCTTGCCACTCCCTTCTGGCCTGCAAAGTTTGTGTTGAGAAATCAGCTGACAGTCGTATGGGTACTCCCTTGTAGGTAACTGAGTTTCTTTCTCTTGCTGCTTTTAAGAGTCTCTCTTTGTCTTTTGTCTTTTGCTCTTGGCATTTTAATGATGATGTGTCTTGGTGTGGTCCTCTTTGGATTCCTTTAGTTTGGGGTTCTCTGTGCTTCCTGGACTTTTAAGTCTATTTCTTTGATCAGGTAGGGGAAGTTTTCTGTCATTTTTTCTTCAAATAGGTTTTCAATATCTTGCTCTCTCTCTTCTGGCACCCCTATAATTCAGATGTTGGTACACTTGAAACTGTCCCAGGGGCTCCTTACACTATCTTCGTATTTTTGGATTCTTTTTTCATTTTGCTTTTCCGGTTGGGGGTTTTTTGCTTCTTCGTATTTCAAATCATTGACTTGATTCTTGCGATCCTCTAGTCTGCTGTTGGAACTCTGCATAATATCCTTTATTTCAGTCAGTGTATGCTTAATTTCTAGTTGGTCCTTTTTCATAACCTCGAGGGTCTCACTAGATTTCTTGAGGGTCTCACTACATTTATCGGCGGTTTCTAGAAAGTTCTTGAAAACCCTTATAAGTGTGGTTTTGAACTCTATATCCAGTCGTTTGCTTTCTTCCATTTCTGTCATTTGTGACCTGTTTCTTTGTCTCCGCATTTTTTGTGCTTCCCTGTGTTAGTAGAGTGGCTTTGTGTGCTAGGTGTCCTATAGGGCCCAGTGGCTCAGCCTCCCCAATTACCTGAGGTGGACACTCTTGGTGCACCCCTTTGTGGGCTTTGTGCACAGCCTTGTTGTAGTTAAGCCTTGATTGTTGTAGGTATCACTGGGAGGAATTGACCTCCAGGCCAATTGGCTGTGAGAATCAGCTGTGTCTACGGTGGGAGAACTTCTGTGCTGAAGACACCCTTATGAGGCAAGACTTGCTTCAGTGGGGCATTGGTGCTCACTGAGTCTGCCCCCTGAGTGTGTCCCTTATGGATCTGAGGAGTTGTAATTGGATGGTCCCACTCTGACCACTGGGTACACTGGCTCTTGGATCTAAGGAGGTGCTAATTTAGCCTCTGCCTGAGGCTACCCAGCAGGAACTACAGAGAGATCTGCAGATTCCCCTTCCTTGTTTGGGGTTTGGAGGTGCCCAAATGAGGCCCAGCTGTGAAGCAATGCAAGCTGCTGTGGGGCCTTGGCCTTCTCCTGGAAGTTATGGGTCTGTCTGGCCCAGCTGCAATTTGTTAGGTAATTTTCAGATTGCAAAGGCCAGGGCATTCATATGCAAAAGCTCTGCTGCAGCTTGGGTGGGGCAGGTCTCAGGGAATCAACAGG